AAATTCTGTATTTCTTTTTCCATCTCATGCAGCTCAGAAGGCATGGAATGCAAATTCATGGTTACTGCCAATTGAGAAAAGACCCTCATGAATGAAGCAGTGCACTGTTAGAAAATGAATTGTCATTTAGGAACAATACTCACTGTTATAAACACAAATAACTAAATAACTGATGTTCTTAAAAAAAAAAAAAAAAAAAAAGAAGAGAGAATGAGAGTGACAGAAGGGCAGTATTTTCTAGTGTTTCTAATAAAAACCAAAGCAAATAGATGCTAAGAGATTTAAGTCTGAATTTACAAACTGTGGAATTCACAGTCACTAAATATTTCACATTTTTATGGTTTGCAGCTGTGTTTAAATAAATCTATCTAATTATATTGAAGGCTTCATTGTAATCACAGGTTAATTCCATTTGCCTGCCCAGAACATGATAACAATGAGCTTGACTGGGTTATTAAGATTTACAAATGGAGTGGGTTTTGGATTTATCCTAAGGTTCTCATTTTCCTTCCTTCCTTCCTTCCTTCCTTCCTTCCTTCCTTCCTTCCTTCTTGTTTGTTTTGTTTTGTAGGGTTTTTTTCCTAAATATGATTGGCTTTCTGCTTCAAAAGAATCATGTTTATGACCTTAAACTAAAAGTAAGAAAGACAGATAAGTCAATTCTTGACGCTTTCCCACAAAGTCCAGACCATCTGGACATTCTGTGTTTGTAACAGGTGCTTCTGGGGCTTAGAGCCTAATTCTGGCCCAGATTCTGTTCTGTATGGGTGACTCCATTACTGTGTGCAACTGCACATTGCATTAATTGAAAGGACTCAGAAAGGCCAAGTAAAGTAATTAGTCAGTTGGTCATGCAGAAAAGAGACTAGTGGCTTAGTGCCACAAAATGTTGAATGCACAGATGTACAGCACCATCAGCTTTTGCTCTCTGTGGTGCTCTACTAATCTCGGGCAGGTAGAGCAAAGATCTGTCTTAGTCCAGGTTTTCAGTCTCCTGGAAGAAACAACATAAATTTCATATCCACTTGGGAGAGAAAATCATAAGTTTGAATCACCTAAAAAAGAAGCTACATCAGCATAAAATTGTCAGAATGGTAAAAGTGCCAGATGGGCCAAATATGGCAGTTAGGTATTTAGGTTCCAGTCTGAGTTTTTAGGTTTATCCAGAAGCAACTGGCATATGCAATACAAGCTGTAAAATGGATGTGATTTTGATTTTCTAAACTTATTTTTTGAACTATGCTGTTTTTCTTTTCCTGTACTTGGCATTTTTTTGTAAGCCTAGCTATTTTGGGATCAGAGTTTGATCATAATCAGTAGCTAGTGTCACCTGAAAAGTTAAGAAAATATCTGCTCTGCTACTCATTTCCACTGAGCAGTGGAACTAAATGTGGGGAGTGGGGGCCTTCAAAAAAGTTATGAGAGTGGTTTATGGTTCAGTTTTTGTGTAGATTATAGCAGGAACTCAAATCCTTTTTCTGTTTCTTTCACTTTACACATGTGCTGTGTTTGTGCTGTTTTGCTATACATCCACTCAGAGCAGGTGTCATCAAAAGGTTTAGATTGTTGTATTTCACTGTAAAATTTCTAGACTAAACATTTATTTTTAAAAGAGTGTTTTTTATTTTCTGATCAGAACAACCAGAATTAAGAACTGGTAAACTGAAATCACAGTTTGCCTAGGCCACTGTTTTCACTATTATGTTAGGTTTTACACACATTGTCATGTTAAAATAATCCTCAGCAGCACACATTGCAATGATGCACTCCCACGGCCATCAATCATAGAGCTCACTACAAAAATTGCTTACAACCATAAGATGCAGTACTTGAAATATTATTAAAACTGCCTTTAATCTCTACTTTAATCATCTTAGAACCCTCTATTCACATTCTCTATATTTCCCACGTACTTTGATAACTAAACAGCAGTGTTATCAACTCCCTCAAGGGCAGAAAGGCCCTGCAGAGAAACTCGACAAGTTACAGAGGTGGGCAAATACCAACTCTACAATGTCCCACAAGGGCAAGTGCTGGATTCCTCACCTTTGACAGGGCAACACAGTTGGTGTCAATAGACTGGGCGATGAGAGGCTGGAGGGCAGCACTGCAGAAAGGGACTGGAGTGTCCTGGTCAATGGCAAGTTGAGCAGGAGTCAGCAGTGCCCTGGCAGCCAGGAGGGCCAACCCTGTCCTGGGGTGCATCAGGCACAGCAGCACCAGCTGGGCAAGGGAGGGGATTGTCCTGCTCTGCTCTGAGCTGGGGCGGCCTCACCTTGTATATTGCATGCAGCTTTTGGTGCCACAATGTAAGAAAGAGATTGTGCTGCTAAAGAGCATCGAGAGGAAGGCCATGAGGACAGTGAAGAGGCTAGAGAGGAAGCCTTATAAGAAGTGGCTGAGGTCTCTTGGCTTGTTCATCCAAGGGAGACATCATCAGTCTTCAACATCTTCATGATGGGAAGCACAGAGGCAAGTACCAATGCCTTCAGTGTCATGACTAGTGACAGGACTCAAGAAACATCATGAAGCTGAGTTAAGATAAGTTTACATTTATTTCTAGTGGAATAAATAATTATTGGTATAATTTCAGCTACATTGTTTTAGTCCAGTTCTGGAGTGCATTCATAAAATTCCCTCCTTTTCAAACCTCAGATTATTCTTTCTTTTACTATGTAGATTGAGGAGGAAATATGGCCTTAGTCTTTGTCACTTGCTGAAACTGACAGCTTTTTCCTACTACTTATATTCCTAAATTACAAAAGAAAGGGACCTATATGTCAAAATAACCAGTGTTACTTTAAACTTTATATTTTAATATGAAAACAACTACAAGAGCTACCGATTTACATGAACTACTGTTTTTTAATCACTATGACATTTTTAAAGAAGCTGAAAAAAAAATAACTGAACTATAATATTCAGATATATCTTGGTGATAAGCATGGAAGAAATAATATTTAAATAATTCTTGGGGACTTAAAGTGAGGTAAAAAGCCTGGGAAAGAGATATGAACCCAAGATACTGATCTTGTTTGGTATTATATATTTCAGTATTACTCATCTGCATTGCCTATTTAATTTGAGTGAGCAGGCAGGGGAATCAAATATCCTGGAGAAAAGGATTCAGAGCGCTGATCATCCTGTAAAGTTTTCAGTGGGAATTGTATATATTCATCTCCCGGGATTACTGAACATTTTACATGCCATATTTCAGTCCCCTACCTAATTAACATAAAGAACAGAGCTGAGGGACAGTACAAAGAGATGATGTGATGTGTGTAGTGATTTAAACAGAATTGCCAAATTTAATTGTAAGCTCACTGGACTTTTTTTAATATCCTGAGCACATAGTGCATGATTAAAAAAGTCCTACATATCAGTTGCTTTGATCGGATAACAAATATTAGAAACACGTTTATACTTCAGTTGGAATAAAGTATTCCTCTGTCCCTCAAAATTCATAAGGAGTAGACAAGTTACCAGTATAATCTAAGATGTTCATGTGTCTGAAGTAATTCATCCTCTTTTCAAACAAAGCAAGTGATTGTCATAAAATATATGGGTCCTGTATGAGTTGAAAAAAAAAGAATGTTACCTGGGAGCCAATGAAGCTTGCAAGCACCCTACCATCATGCTCTTCTATTATTTAATTCTCTCTTTTCATGTGCATCTGTTATATATACTCAATATTAAGTTAAATATACTCAATATCTATACTAGATATCTGTTAAATATACTCAAATATTTAGAATTATGAATGCTAATGCCAGTCTGTTTTGAATAATATAGAGACCATATATCGTTTCAGCTATGGAATTTCTTGTAATTTAGAAATTACTACAGTTACCCCAAATTTGTGCCAAGGTAGCTAGAAGCAAAGGTTCACTTTCAGAGTCTATGTAAGAAAATATTTCATGGCAGCCATCAATACCAATGGCAAAAAAAAAAAAAAAATAGCCAGACAGAAAATAATGTTTTGAATTAGCATAATGGATGGGGAAATATTAAAAAAGTACTCATGAAAATAAAGACTGACTTGCTAGAGAACCCTAACCATACAAACCCTAATGATTTACCCCATATGGACACAACTTTTTTGATTACCACTGCCTCTTAATGCTGTGTCACTGCTGCTATACTTTTTTGAAATTGCATCATTGAGGATAGCCTCACTGACAGGTCTGCCATGAGCTACCAGACAGCAAACTGATTCAAGGATAACACAATGGTGACTATTGTATTAGTTCCTTAATTTATCATAATTTTACTGCTGGATACTTCATGGATATAATATCGTTTCTCTGAACAACTGAAATGTGTGTTTGTATTTAGCTGTATGTATAAATTATATGATTGAGAAACATGTTAGCTAATTGTTTAGTGTTTCCAAGTAAACACCTGGCATATATCCAAAATATGCTTGATTTTACAATATTGTCCTTTATATTGAAATTAAACTTATAAAAATCCTACTTAGTCTGTGTATTTTTTCCAATCTAAACAATAGAACATTGTTGCAGCAGGATAAAATAAGGAATAAACAACAATTAAAAGTGTTTTCTGCTACCTTACCTCAGTTATAATCAAGTTATATAATGAGAGAAATTGACAAAGTTTTTAGACTCTAAAAGGACTCTAAGAAGAAATAGTATAATCAAGTTAGCTTTGTGAAATTTAATCTGCTGAACATACTTCAGTACATTCAAAAATATACAGTGCTTGTCAAATGTCAGTATTGATTTACCATTATTTTTATTTTACATTTGGTATTATATTTATTTCTTTACATACTTACTTGTTATTTATGGACTCTTAACCTCTATTCTCTGTTCCATGACTATCACTTATGGAAGGTGGAATCACCTGGACCACAGCACAGCTCCTGAGTTGTGCAGCTAAGTGGGAAAGTGTCTGACTCAAAGGATAAATATTCTTTGAGGAAAATCAGCAATTCATCGCTGCTGCTCCTATTTGCCATCTCCTGTCACGTGGCATGATTTAACCAAACTGGAAGGAGAATCTGGTCTTTCAAGAAGAGAATCAAAATTTTTGGCAAAAGAACAAAGTTTTCATATTGAGAACAAAGCCTACTATCAGGAGAATCTAAGTGTCCGCTGACAGAACAAAATCCTTTGGGAACAGAATAAAATCCTTCAAAAGAGGCATAGGGACTCTTCAGAGGAAACAAAGAACCTTGAGAAACAGCAAAAGGCTTGCCAACAAAATAAAGCCCTCAGAGAAGAGATTAAGTCTCTCAAAGGATATGAATGAGCATATGCATTGAAGGGAAAAGCTCTTCAGCATGAGATTTTAGCTTTATGAGAAAATCACAAAGCCTTCAAGGACCAGCTTAGAGCTCTTCAAGAGGACAACAAAGCCATTCAGGTGGAGGAAAAAGCTGTTTGTGAAGAAAAAATTCTTTCATGAGGAGAAATTTGCTCTGCAAGAGGGGAACATGCCTCTTCAAATAAGAAAAAGGCCCTAGAAGAAAGCTCTGCAAGAACAGCACAGAGACCTCCATGAATGGAATAACATACTTCAAGAGAAGGAACAAGGTCATAGAGGTAAAGAACCATTTGCTTGGGGAGATTTTGCAGCAGGACTGAAGAGTTTAGATAAAACAGTAATTTTTGTTGTTGGCCAATTATCAGCAAGTAATGGATGAAAATCGGCATCAAGCAGCCTGTTAGGCTTAGTGCAGAGGTCTTGCAGAAGCGCTGAATCATGGATGTTGGTATTTCTGGTCCCTGAAGCCTAGTAAATTAATGTTGCAATACATAATGAATATCTGAAGATGTCTGCTATATTGAGGTATTGAATATCACAGAAAACAACTTTCTTATCTTAGTTTCAAAGGTTAGATTAACACTTTTTACCACAAAATACTAGGGGATATTAATAGAAAATGGATTCTGATGAAATTAATATTAAATTCATATACAAGTGAGACTGTGACAGACTAATTTTTTGCATCTAGATTAACCAATAATATAACGTCTGAAAATAATTAATTTGAAATACTTTCAGAATAGGCTAACAAATTCTTTATCTCAGAAGTTTTCCTTCAAAGATCTAGTTTTAACTTGAATTGTGAGGAAAATAGTTTGGTATATCTGTGCTACTAAAAAAAGAAATATTATGAAAAAAGCTTGAACACTGTTTTCCTGGACAGTCCACCATGCTACTTTGCTTCTGCTTTGTGCAATTTCAAAGCCAACAGGTATGAACAATTGCTGCCAAAAGCAATACTTAGATGAGCCTGTGCTTGTCTTTAATTGTATATGTTCCTCAAATGCCAGCCTTGTAAGCTTTATACCCTTTTGCACCTGTACATGTATTTATATCACATTTCCATACCCATAAAAAAAGTTGTGCTATCATATGATAAAAACACTGCCCTTGTGGTGTGCAAAAATATTATTTCAAAATCTTGAAACCAAAAACCAGACCAGAATAAAACCAACATATTGACACTATCTGGTGTGCATTTAGGAAATCAGGGACAAGAACTCATTGTATGGATGTGACCAGTCTGCTTTTGTTAAGTCTAACCATAACCAGACTGAGACACAAGTGGAGCACTTGACACAAGACCTTGAGTCCAGGTCTTTGGAAAATATTTCTTGTTCAGCCAGAAACTGAGTTAGTAAAAAAATGTGTTAAAATACAGAATACTTGTTAGTGTAGAAACAGTAGGGGTGGAAAAGAAAGTTTTCTAGCCATGGTTCCAAAATCTCAAGGAGAAGGAGTATTTCAGGCAGTAGAGCAAGACATGTGTAGCTAGCACCTGAGAGACAAATTTAGATTTTTTTCTTTTGCCAAAAGTGAAACTCTTAGTAATTATATTTCTGGCCTTAAAGACTAGATAGGCTTTGTAACGTTGAGCACAGTGTTGTACTAGTGGACATCATGCCTGAGAAAACTGATGTAATTTGGAAATATTGTGCTGGAGAATCATCAGGAGTTTTTTTTCTTGTGCACATGATTTCCCAGTGAGAACATTGACAAGACTACTTTCTCCTCAGTTTAGAGATTTTTTATTCAGCCCCTTCCTTTGGATACAGACACTTTGTATGTTAGAGACATTGTCAGCAGATGTCTTGCTTGTAGAGATCTTGTTTTGTGGTTTGAGTGACCATAGAAGAGAGAGCTAAGGAGAGATGAACCGTGGACTACAGATCAGTATTTGAACTTTTTTATGAATGTAGGCTAAATTACGTGACTACTTATGTAAATATTGTATAATAATTGTTGAATATCATGTGAGCTAAAAAAAAACCAAAAAAACCAAACTTCTATAACCATAGAAATATTTAGGTTGGATATGACCTTTAGAGATCATTCATTGAAAGCAATGACAGATTTCAGGTTACTTTACATAAGAGGAACATTAAGCAAAGTTACCTTAGAATGGGGGAAGGAAAACACATCTGTCTCCAGTATTGGTCTGGATCCTCTGCTTGGTTCACTGGTCCAGTACTGGACATGTCCAATGTGTCCTAGTTGCAGAGAAAGGTGGCAAAGCCATGTGGGAGTGGCTAAGCTGCTATTCTATTCCTCTCACAGCATCTCTGGGGGACATGGTTTTGGGGGAAAAAATGGTGAATGTACCCTGCAAATGTCCCTCAATCTCTCTGGAGGTGGTTTTTTAATTTTTTTTTTATGCCTCCAGTAACAGGTGCTCTTTCCTGAGCAGGTATAAATCAGGGTGCTGGGGGCTCCTTTGCCTTGCTGCATGTTTAGTTGAAGGTGAGCTGCTTATGACAGTGCCAGAGCTTGCCAAAGCCTACTGGTTCAGAGTAGTTCGGAGCCTTCTCCACAGAATGCACCCTGCAGCTACCAGAAACCCAGCCAGCCTACCAGTTAGTTCAGTATTCCTGTACCTTTATTACATCACCAGTATGAGAATGGTTCTGTCCCCTAGCCTGGACCTTGTGTCAGATAACTTTTTCAGCTAGGTGTAAAATGGATGTGTGGGTGCATTTCAGTCATGGGGTTTTTTCCATATTGGATAAGCAATTATAGTTTTTGTGCCTTGCAACTCGCAAATACATTTTCCAACTAATCTTTTCTTCTATTCTGTGCATTCAGAGTTGAATTGGAGCAGGTTTCTTGGATAATGCTTCTAATCATGATTTGCAAAGTCTAACAACTCATAGTTTAGTCTGCATGGCAGCAGGAATTCCTAAGGATTGATTCACACAATAGATAGAGGAATTTGTGGTTGCAGTGGACAGGATTTTTAATACTTTAATGCACAGGCAAAATTGTTTTCTGGACAAGGAGTCAAGGCAGTAAGTTGGGGTAGTTAAGATACATTCTTAGTCAAATGTCAGAGTCAACCAAGCTAGACAGTCCTGGTATGCACATAACTTAAGTGATAGCTTATGCTTTGTCTCTCAGATGGGATATGTATGTAAGGAGCAAACCCTTACACAGGCATAAGACAGAATTTGCTGTTGTGCAGCAGAAAGTCTCAACCTTTGTTCTTTACTAGCTGTATGGTGACCAACTGAGGGAGAACTATCATTTTCCCCATGGAAACTTGACACATGTAGCTGTGTGTACTGTGAGACACTCACACAGAACTTGCACCTAAACTCATGGCTCCCCATATCTCTGAGGAGAAAGAAGTCCTTCCTGTTTTCTGATAGTCTCATACCCAAGTAAGTTTCAAATTCTGTTGAAGCATATGAAGGTGCTCTTCTAGAGCTGCTTTCTCTAATATTTTTCTTCCCTTGGTCCCCTTGGAATTTTATGATGTGTTTAGTCAGAATTAGGGACTGTGATAATAACTTGGCAAGATTATGTGCTAGTGATAATAATATACCTTTTGGAAAATACTGCATTAAATTCTAATTGCATTTGTGTGTATTTTCATTCTGGAGTTGGATACTTATATAATGAAGAAATATGGTGCTTTAATTTGTTTTTATTGCATTAATATGATTACATTTACTTGCATACAAATAAATTAATTGTTCCATAAATACATTATGTTTAAAACATTACAAAATTATTGTGTGTAATTAAAAACTTCAAGTATGATTAACAGTGTTTCAAAGTATTCTAAATTAGCTGTTTATTTCCTATGAAAAACTGAACACCACAGTGGTATAAAGAGTGATGATAAAGCTTCAGCTAAATCTGTATAATGAGAGATTGACTGTTGTGTGATGATGAAAGTTTTGGGCTGTAACAAACAGAATTAAATCCTGGATGTTTGGTTGTCTTTCTGCAATTGGATACCAGGTATCCATCAAATCTGCTCTATCAGTCCCCTCCACTGCTGGACAGGGGAGAGGAAATATAAAAAAGGGTTCATGAGTTGAGATAGGGACAGGAAGAAATCACTCACTGATTACTGTCACAGGAAAAACAGACTCAGCTTGGGAATATTACATTAATTTATTACCAATCAGATGCAGAGAAGGATAATGAGAAGTAAAACACATCTTAAAAACACCTTTCCTCCTTCATGAGCTCTATCTCCTCCCTGACAGAAGTGCAGGGAGATGGGGAATGGGGGTTACAGTCAGTTTATCACATGTTGTTTCTGTCACTGCTCAGGGAGAGGAGTCCTTCCCCTACCCCAGCGTGGCATTCCTCCCACAGGAGACAGTTCTCAATGAACTTCTCCAGTGGGAGTCTTTCCCACAGGCTACAATTCTTCATTAATTGCTCCACTGTGGGTCCCTTTCCTATGGCATGCAGTCCTTCAGGAGCAGCCTACTCAACATTGAGGTCCTTGAAGGTCACAGATCCTGCCAGGAAAATCTGTTTCAGCATGGGCTCCTCCCTTCATGACTGCACAGGTCCCTGCCAGATAGCTGCTCCAGCATGGGTTTCCCAAAGGTTCACAGCCCTTTTTCAGGCCTCCATCTGCTCTGGCTTAGGTCTCTTCCATTAACCTCCATAGGTTTCATGGGGACAGCTTTACTCACCATAGTCTTCACAACAGGCTTCATGGGATTCTCAGCTTCAGCCCCTGGAGCACCTCCTCCACCTCCTTCTTCACTCACCTTGTTGTTTACAGAGTTGCTTCTCTCATATATTCTCACTTCTCTCTTTCTCAGCATGCTTAAATCTGCACTTCTTTCTTCTTGAATATCTTATCACAGAGGTGCTACTACCATCTCTGGCTCAGCCCTGGCCATCTGCGGATCTATCTCGTAACTGATTGGCCTTGACTCTGTTGGACATGTGGGAAGCTTCTGGCAACTTCTTAGAGAAGCTAGCCTGCAGCCCAACCCCTCTACCAAAACCTGACCACGTAAACCCAATACAAAGAAGACCCCCAGTCCCAAAACCCAGTTACCAGCAGTGTGCATCAGGGATTAATACCGAGGTCCATGCTGCTTAATACATTCATTAATGACCCAGAGAACAGGATGGCATGCACCCTCAGCAAGTTTGCTGACATAAAACCAGGAGGAGTGACTGATATTCCCAGTGGTTGTTCTGCCATTCAGATGAACAGACTGGAGACTTGGACAGATAGGAACCTAATGAAGTTCAGCAAAATCAAACATATATTTCCCCAGGGAAATTCCTGTGGAGGAATAAGCTCATGTACCAGCATGACCATCTGGAAAGCAGCTTTGTAAAAAAACAAAACTAACCTGAAGCCCTGGCAGACACCAAGTTGCAGAGGAGATGTCAGTG